TCATTTATTGGCTTCTCCTTTACTTTGAGAGTTGTTTCAAACCCCGATTGTTTGCTTAAGCTTAAGATTGAGGTGATTGTGCTTAATGGTTTAATCCCTTTGGGGGGCTCATTACCAACGGCATGACATCTCTCTCATGCTTAAAACGACATTTGGTTTGGTACTTCTTTCTATTAGAGGACTTAAAACTCATTGCTGGACTAAATGAATTAAGGAATGGAAGGTAATTTAAATGAAGTAATAAAACTTAGACTAAAATAAAATAAGTTAATAAAATGATTTGTGTTCAATCGCACGTTAATTGAACACATGGAGACTTGAGTCATTTCATACTTGTTAAGTGATGAAATGGTTCAAGTTTCCAAGATCAACCACTTCCCTTGATCAATCCATGATAGGGAGGAGGTTTTGTTAGTCTTTTGTTTTACATTTATTGAAATTGTGTCCCTTGATTCATAAGTCATCATGCAATGCGATTACATCAATTGATGGCTTACGAAGTGAGCCTATCTCTCCTTTGACTTGTTTGCTGATAAGGAGACAAACACTCCCTGAGAATACTCTAGTTCGTACTCTGTTTGTCCTCTGTTGCTGCAAGACAGAACCAACATTAGTGGCCGGCAGGCCACTTTTACTAGACGGCAACCCACTATTAGTGGCCGGCCGACCACCCACTACTTCTAGGTTTGCCAGCCACTTTTTCCAAGTAGGTAGTGTCCTTTTTCTAGTAGAGCAGAGCAGAGGCTGAGATGAAAAAATAGTGCAATTTTCCAACTGCGCAACAAAGGCATTTTGGTAGCAAAACGGAGAGCATTATCGGGTGGAAATTCACATCCATGCATGAGCCATCCCTAGATTCTCGGGATTCGTCAAAGTGATGTTATAATATTAGTATGTTATACTTAAAGTAGCGAGCTTGTAACTAATTAGTTATAATAGCTAGTTAGTTTTGTGTTGTAATTATTTAATTAGCTAGAATAGCTAGTTAAATTTGCTGTTATAATAATTAGTTAATTAACTAGTGTAGTTAATTTATCTCATTTGGTTTGAAATAATTAGTAAAGAGATTAGCTAGCCCATTCATTCGGACCCTCTTGTGCGAAGGCCAAACTTGTAATAATGCGTATGTCTTCCAACTTCACGTCTTTCTCCCTTTTATTTACTTGCTGATAATGGGTAATTTAGAACATCATGTTTCATTTAGCATATTCCATGTTTGCATCCACTTGTCTTGCATGCATTAGGCTCAACACATCATTCTAACAAGCATTGTTGTTTATTACTTCGTTGAATACGTGTTTAAACCGCATGCTTTCAAATTGATTCACATGTCATAATTAGTAGCCGAGCCTATTAATTACATTATTGCATGTGTTGCATTAATCATGTTGCATTAGTTAGGATCATGTATTTTTCCTAATTATTTTCTCTTTTTAGCTTGCCTTGGAGTACTAGGTGAGTATTTTATTACTTTAGCATATCGCATGAATGTGATTGTTGCCATGTCTAGCATGATTGCCATGAGGCTAAGTGCTTAAATGTTGTATCTGTTTGAATGCCTACAGATGAAGGCTAATAGCTTGAATTGGAATAATTTGAGTAATGTGCATATGAGATCACATTTTTCAAGTGGTACATATTTCAAACAATTTTCAAAACAAACTTGAAATTAAATGTTCTAATTTTTGCAAATTATTCTATACTTGTGTGCAACACATAATAATGTTAACCTAATAACCGGAACAAGAGCATATAATGTAAATAAGAATCACATCATGATTAGTAGAGGTTCCTAAATTTGGTGAAGATGGATAAGTGGCCTTTGGCACGAGTCTCAGGGTTTCCTAAATTTCTTAAAAATATTTAGGTGGCGACTCTGTATCTGGCAAAGCAGTCCATTTTTAGTATTTTTTATTCAAAATTGATTTTTCAAAAGATTTGCCGGATTTGAACTCTTTTTGTGTTTATCTATTTCACATTGCACTTGTGGAATCAGATTCAGAACCACAGAAGTCCGAACTGTAGGGCTAGTCGTATCCGAAAGAAGCACGAAAAGTCGAGCTACACTACCGAAATTGAGTATCGTGCACTACTGCTCATTGTCTTCTTTTTGACTTGGGCATCCCTCAGTCTTCTCCAACCTACCTCTCTTGTGATAACCGTACTACTATTCAGATTGCCCATAGCACTGTCTTCCATGTGCGAACAAAGCACATTGAGATTAATTGTCACTTTATCTGTCAGCATCTGCATTCTGGCTCTATCTCGCTTCCTTCCGTCCCTTTGGCTCTGCAACTTGCTGACTTCTTTACCAAGACTCACACCATTGCTCAGTTTTAGTTTCTTCCTGACAAACTCTCAGTGTTTTCTGCTAAAACACCTTGAGTTTGAACAGGAGTGTGAGAATATTGAGTTCGGTTTATAAATATGGTAGTGTATATTGTGTAGATATATGGCAATTTTTCTTTTTCTTTTTCTTTTTAGTCTTAGGGTTAGGGTTACTATATAATCAGATATATTCTTTGTATTATAACACAATTGAATATACATAAAATATTTAAAAATCTTACAGCCGCCTTGCCATCAAATGGGCCTTTTGTTCAATTGCATTATGAGCGTAGCATGCAACATAGTGTGGCTATGTTTAAGCAAATGTTTTGGGTTCAATGACGAAACAGTTGATATGTTTTACCAATACTTATAACTATTTTTAATTTTGGTGCATCACGTGTTTGGCTACTTGGGTAACCAAATAAAATTTCATTTTGGCCCATTTAATGTTAATGGTCAAACCAGTTTTGACCAGATTTGATAAAGTCACCAGCTACCTATATGTCCACTGGCCATTACAGTTGTTAAGGGAATACAAGAAGTAATGAGGGACAATGCAGTCATTTAGCACTTTTAATCCAAATCGGCACAAGGGAAAACAAATAAGGGATAAGGTCGGAAAAGGTTATCCTGGACTTCATCCCAAGTCCATAGAAACAACCTCTCTCTAAATGTTCTTAGAATAGTCTCCCATATGAATTGGGACTCAAAACAGAATGAAGGATCTCTATTACATAATCCAATGGTTGCGGAAAAACCACCTCAATAAGTATAGTGACTTTTTTTAATTTGAAATAATGATAAATTCACATGCCTATTTTATAATCATTGGGTATGTTCTAGAGAGGATCACAATCTGGACTCAACAGTCAACACCTCTCTATTCGGTAATGAAGTCTCATCTACCCAAGCAACCTTAAATGACTGTGGATCTGGCTCAGACTGCATCTTCAATGTAGCAATAGCTTATTTAGTGATCACATTCATTGTACTCCCATCATCAATGATGATCTCAAACTTTATCCCAACATTTTACAAATGTATGGAAAATGCCAGCATGCTTCTACACGTCATCCTAGTAAGAGTGGATAGTGTCATTACTCCCCATATATTATCCTCACCTTCCTCCTCAAACTCTTAAAGGGTCAACTACCCTCATCAATACATTCTCTCTCTCCTGCAAATTCATTCAACTCATAATCAATGGTTAAGGTACAATGTGGCCATCAAAAAGAAATATGTTCCTGCCATGGCAATGGTGACACTCGACTCAAGGAAGAAAGTATGCCGAAAAGAACTAGAGAACGAAGATTCCTACTGTGGTGGGTACTACTGACTCTCAGCTTAGGGTTGCTACCCATGAAAGCAATAAATCCTAACCGTGTAAACCTACTCGACCTACCTACCAAAAGACACAGATCTAGAATGCTAGAGGTCCCCGACTAGAGAATTAAATCATGTTTGCACCATTTCCATTTCCGTTCTACATTTAAGTATTGATCTCTATTTTAATTGGTGTCCGCTACATGAATCTTTTCTAACACCCATTATGTCAAGTGCTAAAGGATCTATGTCACGGTTTGTATGCACCCTGACAATAAGTTTACAGCCACAGAACCAGCCATAGAAAACAAGGTGAGGCTCTAGAGCCATGAGTGAAACTGTTTCTTTTATGACAGGCACCAACATCTGATATGTATGGCCAGGAATGTTTAATGTCATTGTTTTTGTGGCTGGTTTTCTCTCCAGACTTATTGACGCCCTGAGCATTATGTTAAGAAATTCTTTTATAAACTTCACATTTGAGCCACTATGCCTTTTTCGTATCATTCGTAAATGTGAACCTATAATGTATATTTGTTGAATTACCTTCATATATGAATATTAGTCTTACATTCAATGTTGAGGATTTGTTTTCTTACCAAGACACTTTTGAGCCTACCAATTTGCCAACATGTTTATCTACAGGAGTCATTCCTTTTACATTAGTTCCAGCACCTATCCCTCATCTTCTACCACTTCCACCACCTCATGACGATTAGATCACAAATGTTTTTGAGACTTCAGACATTTCTTCTCTTGGTACGAAAATTTTGGATACCAATGATACATGGGTTACATAGGATAAGTTTTGCCATCTTCATCCAAGAATATCTTGTGAGATGGAAGAAAATTTTTGCCGTCTTCTCATATGGAGAGAATCTATAGGAATCAATGAGAACGCCTTCACACAAATTTTAGGTGCAGGTGTCAACCGAGAATTGAGACTATTTAGAAATTTGAGTATGTTTAGTGGCTTCTGATGAATAAGGTTTATTTGACACCCAAATGACCATTATGCCACCAACCACAACAAACAGAACTAGTAATCTAGAAAGGGAAAAAAATACTCTACTTAATTTCTACAGCTGCTAATCAAGTCTCTCCAAAAAAACACTTCATGGGTATAACAACTCACAAAACACTGTGATTGTCAAAAGATCACTCAAATTAAAGAATCATACATACTACATGGCATTTTTATCATATTCTATGGAAATAAAAAGATGCGGATACTTGGAAAAGGCTAAAGATACAAGCAAACAACAGCAGTCAGCAACAATCGAGATTTAAAGCAATGAATCAAGATAGCAAATAGGAAAAATAAAGATATGATCATGGATCAGAACCTTGGCTTTCTTTCTTTTGAACTGAACTTTATCCTTCACTTCTGTTCCATTTTTTCCACTGTTTGTCTTCATCACTGCCAAGGTCCCTAAATCACCTTCACTTCCGTTCACATCAGAAGCTTCCTCCACGGCCAACATGTTCTTTTTCTTCATTCTTAACATTTTATATTCAAACTCAGTCATATGTGAACGTTCTTCTTCAGTAGATTTGGCAAACTGGTGTTGAAATGCAGATGGAGGCTCAAGCAGTAAGGCATTTCGCAGACCAAATATCACAGGCACACCAGGCACCTTCAGCCAAAACAAATATCAAAATCACAACCATACCTGTTCATTAGAGCATTTGTATGTGTGCACTAGCATAGGAGTATTGAGTGTCCATGTGCAATGTGGTAATGCACAAAACAGAAAAAATAGTTCTAACTGGTGAATATAAAAAGAAGGCATCCATACTTGCACTGATAAGTTCATTTTCAAACAAACAGCCAAGTCTAGTTCTGGATACTCAAGTAGCATTAGCATCCAAATAAGAAGTTCCAGTAATATATATACATATTTTTGGATAAAATATATATACTCCCGCCGTCCCAAAATATTAATCCCTTATTCCATTTTTCATTGTCCCAAAATATTAGTCCATTTTAAAAAATCAAGGACTAAAATAATATGAATTTCTTATTTTGCCCCTCTTTTAAATTCATTAACAACACTAAAAGTGCAATTATGACAATTGATATTCCCAAAAAAATGTACTATCAAAGGGTAATTTTGAAAAATTAATAATTTTAAAGTGCAATAATTGTACTACCATAAAAAGTTACATTCCCCACAAAAGGGACTATTATTTTGGGACGGAGGGATTATTAAATTTTCAACAATTTTAGGTTTATAGTTTGCATCCACCCCACACTACATTCACAAAATGCCTAGTGGTCAGGAAAGAGCATGCCCACATAGATTACCTATTTATTCTGAAGTGATGCTGTAAAGGGCGGAGAGGGAAAAAAATTATTTGTGAATCATTTTCCTTTTTTTGTAGGAAACACAAACTGCTCAACATGTAGAGGTTGTAATGTCATCCCTAGAGAGTGTTTAACATCACAACATAGGCTAATAATACTAGATATCTATGCTAAAAGGAAAAATCAAATAAAAACAAAAATATTATAAACCTACTAACTAGATGGTGGATTCTAAAAGCTAAAAAATTATGAATGCTTTAAGCATAAAATGTTTAAAACAGCAGTGTGGAATTTGAAAATGAAACTAATAATACATGAAATACAATGGGCAAAATACATTACAAGAATGTTGAAAGGAAAATGTTGTTTATCTAAAGAACATTAGTGTAAAATGTTTTTAACAAGCAATGTGAAGTTTGAAAATGAAACTAATAGTTGAGTTCGAAAAATGAAACTAAAAGTATGTAGAATACAATAAAATGCATTAAAAGAATATTGAAAGAAGTTCTTGGAGGTCAAAAGGAAAAGGTCGTATATCTAAAGAAAATTAGTGGTGGTGTGACAAGATACAAGAAGTAAGGAAAATATATATATTTTAAACAGTGGCAAAAGGATCTAAGAATATAATAATAATAACAGAGATACAAATGGGCTAACAAAAAGGTTAAAAGGATAGTTAGATTAGAGCTGCAGAATTGAAAGTCTACAACAATGTTCATACTAATTAGACAATAAAAATGAAGAAAATAGTATTTACAAGAATGCCACTGGTTCCAAAGTAACCTTTTTGAGTATTTCATTTACAAGTTTTCCAATCTCTGATAAAAAGAATTAAAATGACAACATAAATATCCAACTCAAAGGAACAAAGTAATTTTATGCTATTTGAAATCACATAAACAAGGCCTCGTTTGATTAAGAACTTCCTTTGATTAAAGACATAACTTCCTTTGATTAAGAAGAAAAACCTCACATACCATAGAAAACAATATCATTGTACAGAACCATACAATCTACTCATGACCACAATAAGTGAAATCTAACACAAGAAATACACAAACCTCCTGGAGGTTCTTCCGCAAATCAGCATCCTGAGTAGCAACAAAGAAGTGCTCGGGATTGTCTTCTCCAATAATTTCCATGATGCAAGCCACAGCACTCTTCCTCTTCTCATGGTCACATCTAAAAATGGCTCAAAAATGTACTCCCAGAGCTTAGAATAACAATATCATGTCTTTAGAAAGATTAAATGACAGTAAGCATGAAGCATATATTGATATGGTCATGTACTCTGCAAATAGTAAGGTCAGCGGGCTGCCATCTTCATTACTTTTTCTTCCAAAACTTGATGCTAGTACACATGGAGGGAGGGAGGAAGGGAGAGACAAGCACAGAGAGAGAGAGAGAGAGAGAGAGCACTGACCTTGCAGTAAAGAGGTTACAAGCTGCCTTAAGAGATTCAGAATAGGACTCACCAAGGCTTTTTAATTCCGCAAGAACACATCTACAATCAAAAAGGAAATAATAAAGAATTCATGTACAAGGAAACATTTAATTCATAAACCGAAAGAGAATTACACCATTATATCATCGTCATCTAGTATAATAACAAAAAAAAGGGGCAGAAAAGCCTGCTGACCTGGTAGTAAATATTTTTACAGTGGCACTAAGGATACTTGAGAGTGCAGTATTGGCTGGTGTAATAGAATTGACATGAAGGTGATGTACAAAAGTTCCATCACAAAGAACCTTGAATGGCTCTCGGAAGCCAAAGCAAGCTGTGTAGAACCTAACAACCTTACGATGGCGTTTCTGTTTTTTCAATCTCATCTATCAAAATAAATAAATAAAGATAAGACTAAATCAAGGATTTATACATTATTTTTGGATAAAATAAGTTAAGGAGAATCAAACTTGAGTCTCTTTATTTGGGGAATACTGACTGAGCTGTTGGGGCATCCCGTAGGGGACTAATCAAGGATTTTCCATATTATATAGCAAATCATCAATACAAATACAATTTTTTTTTAATAAAGCACATCATCTAATACCATTTGAGATGGGAACTGATAAAGACATTACTAGTAATGTTAAGAGAGTGCTTGGGAGTGGGAGACAGTAAGCTGTATAGAAAGTTAAGTAAATAGCATTATTAGGCATTAATAGTTAAATGTCGCAGCTAAGAAGCACCAAAACTTCTACCAAGGAAGCATGTCGTGCCAACACTCTTTGGACACTCCTAAAAGTGTCAGGCACTTCTTCAATGTGTCTTAACAAAAAAATCAAATCTATAGCATCGGACACTTCACAGACATTTCAACAACACTCCTTGAACTCTCTGAACACATCCTGTGTCACATAACTATGTTTTTATTCTTCATAACACAACTTATGCACTCTAAATATGTTTTAAAATTTTAACATAACCCAAGCATGTTGCGTCTTACATTTTTTTGAAAATCAATGTGTTGGGTTAGGTCGTGTGTCCATGTTTGTGTCTGTGCTACTTAGCGCGGCATCTATAAAGGTCATCAATCACCATCATTTTGTTTTCATCACAACATCCGAAACACTTACATTTCCTAAAAGACTTCTTTCTTTGTTTTTTTTTAATCGGCAATCAAAAGATTTTACATTTCCTAAAAGACTGAAACAAAACATGCATGAAATAACTAAATTCTATCTTTTCTAGCTACTCTGATCAAAATCATTGAGGATAATTTTGTAAAACTACAGTTCGGTGGAGAAACTTTAGGACACCCTTGAGGAAATGGATCGGGTGTTGTAACTAATGAAACACACCCCAAAACATAGAGAAATGCACCAAAACATACCGAAACAAAAAACTATGTCAACATAAATTTAAAATCTCACATAATTGTTGCTTTTGTTATTTTAACTTTTGAGATATAGAGAAAGATGAATAAACCAAACCAAACCAAACCAAACCAAACCAAGCCAAGCCTTAAGTCCCATCAAATAGGGTCGGTTACATAAATCCTTCTTCTCCACGTGGCCCTATCAAAGGCCATTTCGTTAGTCAAATTAAGCAGATCCATATCTCTATTTACAACGTTAACCAACGTTAATCTAGGCCTACCCCGTCCCCTAACACTTCCTTCTACCGTTACAGCATCGCATCTCTTCACTACTGCCTCTGTTGGTCTCCGTTGAATATGACCAAACCATCTTAATCGATTCTCTCTCAACTTATCTTCTATTGGTGCTACTCCTACCCATTCCCGAATACACTCATTCATAATTCTGTCTTGTCTAGTCTTGCCACACATCCACCTTACCATTTTCATCTCAGTCACACTCATCTTATCTACATGTTATTTCTTGGTTGCCCAACACTCCGTCCCATACAACATCGCTAGTCTAATAGCCATTCTATAGAATTTACCTTTAAGTCTAGTGGGTATTCGTCTATCGCACAATACCCCAGACGCACTTCTCCACTTACACCATCCCGCCTTAATCCTATGGGCCACATCTGCATCAATCTCCCCCGCTGTTGTGATAGTCGACCCTAAACAACAAAAATATTCACTCTTAGGTAGTTCTTAATTCTCAATCTTCACTTCTCCTCCGCCTTCATTGTTACTGTTACTAAATTTACACTCCATGTACTCTGTCTTAGTTCTGCTTATCTGGAATCCTTTAGATTCAAGAGCTTTTCTCCAAATCTCCAACTTTGTATTAATTCCTTCTCTAGTCTCATTCACTAGCACTATATCGTCTGAAAAAAACATACACCATGACACGTCATCTTGGATATTTCAAGTCAACTCATCCATAACTAAAGCAAAAAAATAAGGATTTAAAGTAGATCCTTGGTGTAACCCTACAATGATAGGAAATTCATTTCTCTCCAGCGGGCGATCTAATAGCGGCCATCACCCTTTTATACATGTCCCTAATCACATCAATGTAACCTTTTGTCACCCCTTTCTTCGCTAACACCCACCATATTATATCTCGGGACATTCTATCATATGCTTTCTCAAGGTCGATAAACACCATATGAATGTCTCTTTTATTTTCTCTATATTTTTCTATTACTCTCCTCAAAAGATAGATCACTTCCATTGTTAACCTACCAGGCATAAACCCAAATTGATTCTCTGACACCTCTGTTATATCTAATCGGCGTTCTATCACTCTCTCCCACACTTTCATTATATGACGCATTAGCTTGATTCCTCTATAGTTATTGCAATTCTAGACATCTCCTTTATTCTTATAGATTGGCACTAAAATACTCTTCCTCTACTCATCTGGCATGTTCTTAGTTAACAAAATTTTGCTAAACAACCTAATCAACCAAGTAATCCCCTTTTTACCCAAACACTTCCAAGCTTCAATAGGGATATTATCTAATCCTAAAGCCTTATTTGATTTCATCTTCTTAAGTACAATCTCCACTTCAAAGTTCCTAATCCTACGATAGAACCTATAGTCTTGATTTATCGTATTACTGGCTATTTCTTCCCCTATTGCCGTACCTCCATGTTCCTCATTTAATAGTTTCTCAAAATAGTTCTTCCATCTTTCTTTAATCTCTTCATCCCTCACCAATACCTTAGAATCCTCACTCTTGATGCACTTAACTTGATTAAAATCTCTTGTTTTCCTCTCCCGTATCTTAGCAAGTTTATATACCCTCTTCTCTCCCTCCTTACTATCTAGTCTAGTGTATAGGTCATCATAAGCTTTTAACTTAGCCTCTCTTACTACTTTTTTGACCTCCTTATTAGCCAATCTATAGTTGTTAAGGTTTTCCTCAGTTCTATCACTTTTTAAAGCATTCTTTTTTTGCCTTAACTACCGCTTGAACCTCTTCTCTCCACCACCAAGTTTCCCTAGAGCTGGGTCCCGTTTCTTTCGACTCTCCAAGCACTTCCCTTGAGATTCTCTTCGTACAATTGGTCATCGAGTTCCACATAGTGTTAGCACCATCTTCCAAGTCCCATGTACCTTCCTTATCCATTTCATTTTTAAATATTTCTAATTATCCCCTTTTAGGTTCCACCATCTCGTTCTACGATGCCCACCATCCTTCTTAGCTTGGTATTGCCCTCTAAAACATAAATCTAGTACTAAAATCCTATGTTGAGAGGTCAGGCTCTCTTCAGGAATCACCTTACAATCATTGCATTTTAGACAGTCCACTTTTCTCACTAAGAAGTAATCTATTTGGCTCTTAACTGACCCACTCTTAAAGGTTATCAAATGCTCCTCCCTCTTCTCATACATAGTATTGGCCACCACCAGGTCAGAAGCTAACGCAAAATCTAAAATACTCTCCCCCACCTCATTTCTGTCACCAAAACCGTATCCACCATGCACCTTTTCATAGCCTAATTTATCTACGCCTACATGGTCATTAAAATCTCCACTTATAACCAAGTTCTCTCCTGCGGGTATCTCCTGTAAGATCTTATCTATTTGCTCCAAAAAATCCCTCTTTGTCTGATCATCTAATCCTACTTGAGGGGCGTATGCACTAATAACGTTCACCATATTCCCTCTAATAACTAGTTTAACTAATATAATCCTATCCCCTTTCTTAATGACCGCTACTACATTCTCCACAAGACCCTTGGCAATTAAGATTCCTACCACATTCCTGCGTCTATCTTTACCACTACAATACAGTTTAAAACCGATATCCTCAATTTTCCTAACTTTCTCACCCGTCCACTTTGTTTCTTATACGCAAGCTATACTAGCTCTCCTCCCAATCATAACATCTACCAATTCCATCGTCTTACCAGTTAAGGTTCCTATATTCCAAGTGAGAAAGATGAATATAAAAAAATAAAAATAAAAAACTTTGCATTGTAGTTGTTATTATCACCACCACAATAATGACATCACCAACACCATCATCTTCATCTTAGTCAATTTACATATCGTATTTTGTTGGCATCTTGGGCACCTTTAGAATCATAAACATTAAGTTTCACCTCAACATCTACCTTTTGAAGTCTAGACTATTACAGTGCTCTCATTCTCTTTCTATTGAGCTTTTGTAATTTATACTTCCCCTCTTTTCAACATATTTTTCTTTTTACTTAAAATAAAAATATAAGACATAACACAAACTAAATTTGAAAAAAAATCATATAAAAATTGTATTCCACTCCATCTTCAAAGACTCTACCGTGATTAAATAAAGTTGTAAATCATATTAAAAAAAACGTTTATTCAATCAATACATCACAATAGCATAAGCATAAGAACACATTTTTTCCCTAAACAAATGTTGCAAGTTACTGCGGTCTAGAACATAAGAATAAAAATTCAATAGTTCACTGGAAACAATTTTAAAAAAGAAAAACAAAAAAAATCATATTTTTATACATTCAATTATACAGGTTACTCACAATAAATTGTATATATATAAGTGTGTGTGTGTGTGTGTGTGTATTTCATGTTTAATATATGTAGGGTTAACAGTGAATACGACGAGAGGGAAGGAAGGAGGAAGGGATGGACTGACCTCAAAATATGAGGGTTAAAGAGCAATGGCAGGGCTATAGCGAACTTCTTTTCACAGAAAAAAGTAAGACAGAAGGAGAAAGTTACAGTAGAAGAAAACAAAGAAAGAAAGAGAGAAGCAGAGAAAAGTCGAGACTAGGCTTCAACGAACAGATTGGGAGCTTCTGTCGACAACAAAGAGAGACTGAATAAGGAGGTTACAGTGGAGTGGGAGTGAAATCCACTTAGCTGACGAGGCTTCGACCGACTCACGTCCTCCTCCTCTCTCTCTCTCTCTCTAAAACTAGTAGTTAACTGTGCGATCACCAAAGTGAACTAGGTAATAAACAACCAATTATTTTGAATAATATACATAACCATCAATCTAATTTTTCCCAAATTTTTTGAGCCAATATGGTAATAAACACACACGTACAAATCACCAAATTGAACTATATATAATGGGGCAAAATATATCTATAAAATTAGGATTCTTTGGATTAGAGTGTGTGTGTGTGTGTGTGTGTGTGAGAGAGAGAGAGAGAGAGAGAAATAAATGATAAAGAGAACTTACAGTTTTGTATTCAGGTTTGGGTTCATTCGAGTCTCGCCTGAAGGATTTGGGTCTCGCCGCCGCAGCCGGTGTACATGTTAGTCGACGTCTTCCTCTCCTCTGTTACTTCCCTCTTCCTTCGTTAGTTCGTTCCAAACCTAGGTTCAGTTTTGAGAGAGAGAAAGAGAACAGAAACACGATCGAAATAAACAAAACGATGGTGTGTTGATAGGACACCTTCGATCAATTAGAGAATACCTATCAAGGAGCTTGCGTTTGGTAGAATTTTTTTTGAATTTGTAAGTTTTAAAATTATAATTTGAGTGTAGAAAATTTATTTAGTTATGATTTTTAAATAGAGTATTGAATTGTATGTGGAATTGAATTTTGAAAGTTTGATATATATGTGAAATAAGAAAATTTGTTTGCTAATGAGTTTTTAAAATAATTTTTAAAACTTAATTCAACCTATAATTGATAATCAAACACACCACTCATATATTGATATCCGTATTTTTATCAACAGTCATAACCAAACTATTTTTAAAATACTCAAATAAAAAAATGATTTTTTTAATTAAATTTTTAAGTAATTTTTTTGAATAATTTTTTTTTCAAATAATTTTTTTTTAAATAACTTCTATGCTAATTATTTTGTGTCAATTAATTTTTCTGTCAATTCATTTTTTAGGACTGTACAAACATTTTGTACAATACATTTTTAATTTTTTTCAAAAATTTTGTTGAAGTGAACTACTTTGGAGAATACATATTGATAGCAATTAACATAAATAAGTGTGTTTAATATTTTTAAATACAAATCAAAACGTAAACGTTACCAGTCATTATCAATATTTTTTTATTTATTACATTTTATTAATTTAATAAAAAAATTGTTTTTTTTGTTGGTGCATTATTGTACTTTGAATGTCGCCCACCCGTGAAGGTCATATAATTTGGGGGGAGTGATGTTTGTGTACAAAATGACCAATTCGCCTCTCTTGATTTGAATGGCAGGTTGTTATGTAAGAACAAAATAAAAAAGGATAACACTGTAATTTCACTTATCCAATACACCCAGCCCTCCTATCCTAGGTGTCTGTTCATCACTGTGGGATAAAGGAAAAGAAATACGAAGCCAAAAACTGCATACATGGTCAGTCATCAGTATACGGATGCAATTAAAAATAAGTAAGGAAAAAATAATAATAATTAGTAAGAAATGAAAAGGTGTTGTTTGGTAACACTTACATTTTCAGTTTTCTGTTTATATTTACAAAAATTAAAAAAACTCAAATAAAAACTTGTTTGGTAAAATTTTTGATTTATAAATCAGTGGTCTCAGTTTATAAATTTGGTCAAAAAATGAAAACAAAAAAAATGTGTTTCCGTTTTGAGTTTTGAGTTTTTTTTTTTTTTTTTTACCCCCCAACACTAGCCCCCACCCGCCACCATTTTCCACCACCGTCTTCCGCTACCACCACCCACCCCTCCACCACCACCACCCGCCACCTACCCGCTACCACCACTCACCACCCACCTGCCACCACCATCCACCACCCGTTACCACCATCACCACCACACACTCGCTACCACCCATCACCCGCCACCATCACCCACCCAGCCACCATCACCACCCGCCACCTACCTGCCACCATCACCCACCCGCCACACACTTGTCACCACCACCCGCTACTACCACCACCACTACCTACTCGCTACCACCCGCCACCGACCCGCCATCACCACCCACCACCACCCGTCATCCGCTATCCGCCACCCACCACTCGCCACCATCACCTCCCACTCACTACCACCCACCACCCGCCACTGTCACCCATCCACCAACCACCACCACCTACCCGCCACCACCCGCCATCCGCCACCCACCTGCCACCACCACTCGCCGCCACCACCACCACCACCACCAACACCCACTTGCTACCACCCACCACCGTCACCCACCCATCCACCACCACCACCCACCCGCCACCACCAGCCACCCACCACCAGCTACCCACCACCCACCATCACCACTTTCCACCACTGTCTTCCGCCACCACTTCCCATTTCTCATTCTTTTTTTATATTTTAAATTTTTTTTAAACATTTTGTCAATTACCAAACGCGTTTATAGTTTATGTTTTTCTAAAAATAAACAAAAAAAAACAAAAACCAGTTTATAAAATTTTTGTAAATATAAACTGAAAATGTAAACGTTACCAAACACAAAATAAGAAACCCTTCTGGACCTTCTGAACCTTAGCCTTTATATAAGATCTGAGTCTGCATTCGTTTAACCACACCATTTTCACCATCTCATTCCAACACCTTCAGCAGCTCCATCACACTACAATATTAACTACATTCAGTGTACATATTCATCTGAAGAACAGCCATCAGGGACAACCGGCCAGTCATCCGGCGGGTCAGCCGGTTCAGCCACTAGTTCGTCCTCTCCATTCAGTTTCGCTATCTATTGCCTATCTGTTCCTTTTTTTCACACCAACATCATACATTTTACTATACATTTTTCATACATTTTTCTTAACTTTTGCAGTCATCATGCTAAAAACAAAAAGAGCGAAACCCGAACGTGGCGAAACCTCTAACCTTGTACAACGTGAACCACAGCAACATCATGACTATCCAACTGTTGATTTTCTCACATATAATCATCAACAAGCTTATTCAAATTTCGCTAATTGACCTATTGTTACAGGGAGAAAGGTAAATCTACCTTTTCAATATAATCCATTGTTGCTTGGCAGATTGGATACAATGGGATGGTTACCTTTAACTAATTTACCACATAAAGTATATCCCTGTCTTGTACATCTATTTTACGTTCACTTGAAATCTGCAGAGGAACAAGTGGAACCGTTAAGTCTGACTTCTTATGTGAAGGGGAAAGTAATCACACTTAACCCCCGCAGTTTCGCACAAATTATTGGAGTTGAAACAGGAGATTTGCAATGCTATTTTCAAACAGAGACTCAGTTAGCTAACATTGTTGATGATCTAACTGAGGTTTATACCACAATTTGTGAGAGCCGATTCACCGGCACTAGTTTACAAGCCAGACGTTTAAAACCCTACCTTCGTATTCTTCATCGATGGATAGTTGAAAATGTCACTCTCCAAAAAGGACATTTTGATGTTGTTCCATATTTTAATGTTTATTTGTTATATTGTTTTGAAATTGGACAAAAATTAGATTTATGCTTCATATTACTGAGAGAAATGATGGTTGCAAAACTTGGTGTTCTGAGTGTCCGGTCACTACCTTTTGGAGCTTTGTTAATCAAAATTTTCAAAGCGCATAATGTCAATTTCGAAGGTGAAGTAGATGTGAGAATCACTTCACCAATCTCTGAGTACACACTGACCCGAGCTGGTGGCGCTGAAAACTTACTGGGTTCTATTAATTTTGAAAATGAACCAATACCTGATGAGGAAGAACCCAATGACAATGCCATGCCACCAAATGAACAACCCCAATACTGGACTGATTATTTAGCGTTGGAACAAGAACGGTACAATCAGCACCTACAATGAGAACAACAAATGGCTAATCAGGTCAATACATTGGGTACTCGGTTCGATGAATTTGCCGCCGCTCAGAACTCACTAATTCAATAATTTGGTGAGTTTCGTGTAGACTCAGGGAGACGTGATGAAGTGACGCGGAACCGCATCGATCAGATTGACCATCGAGTCACTTAGGTGTACCATCACTACTTCCCTCCACCTCCATCACCACCAGACAATGATGCTTAACTTGTTTCGATGACCGTTTAAATAGTTCACACATGCTATGGTTACATTTTGTTTTCTTATTTTTTTGTGGTTATTTTGTTTTCTCATTTTATTGTGGTTATTTTATTTTGTTTATTTTGTTGTAATCTTTTGTATTGACGTAATGAATAATCAATTTTCTTTTTCTGCACTGTAAAATTAACCAGCGACAATGTTATAACAATTTGTGAGTTATATTATGAAATTAAAAAAAAATCATACAAAAATTAATAAAAAAAAATTAATAAATGTGTAACAAATCCTTGATTTCAATAAAATGAAAAAATTAAAATTTAAAAAGTCTACAAATTAATAAAAAAAAATAAATTAATAACAAAACCATTATTTTAATAAAATGAAAAAAAACAAATTAAAAATAATAATTGGCTGAAATGAAATAAAACAAGTTAAAAATTAATAATTATACTTTTTTAATAAAAAAGGAAAAAAAATAATAAAAACTTATTTGGTATAATATCTGAAAATAACAAAACCATTATGTTAACATGAATAAAAAAACAATTAATAAAAAGAAATTAAAATTAATAACAAAGCCTTCAAATTATTTTAAAATGAGAAAAGTAAATTAATTAAAATATGTCGTCTACAAATAAATTATAAAAAAATTAAATTAATAATAAAACCATTATAAAAAAATTAAATTAATAATAAAACCATTATTTTAATAAAATGAAAAAAAAGAAGTTAAGAAAATAAAAATCGGCTAACATGAAATAAAAAAAGTTAAAAATTAATAATTATACATTTTCTTTAATGAAAAGGAAAAAAGAATTACACACTAATTTGGGATCACAAAACAAATTTTCAAACAACTCTGTTGTGGGACAGGCAGAGCTCACTTTTTGGAAACGAGCTTCTATTTAGCTGCACTAATAACTCAGTGTTGTTCGGGCTGTTGGGACCCATCACTCATCCCGTTTAAATAATTTGAACCGTTCAATGTATAGAAATCGTGGAGTACTATGTGCTTGTGAAAAATCATCTTGATCAGATATCGGTAACTATATGATCAAATCAGTTAAAATTTATAAAATGGATGGTGTTATAGTTAACGGTTAAAAACAAACTAATCCGATTAGATAGCTATCGATATCCTATCAACGTGATTTTTTACAAGAAGATAGCACTCGACGAGTTCTACATATTGAACGATTTTGATTAGCAAAACGGGACCCGTGGTGGGTCCCCACGGGTAGAACAACACCTCCAATTCAATGCCCAAATAGCAGGGAAATATCTCACAGCCTCTACTCCACCAACGCTGTCCCTGCACTGTACCACCTATTCCATCCAATCTTATCCTATACAGTAATTTATACAATTTTTTAATACACATTTTTTCATAAAAAGTCAAAAAATTATCTCAAACAATCATTTTTTTTCCCTCAACTTTTCAGTCCAGAAAGTGAAAAAGTAGACTTATTTAGGACACCCCAACAAAG